ATTGTTTAGTGAATCTGGCTTCCCAATTGACTGTGCTTGTCAGAAGGTCGCAAAATGTGACCACATGATCCCAGGATACTGCAACCGTCATAAATATGAGTTCATTGCCAAGCATCTGATCATGTGACGATGGGGATGCTGCAATGGTGGTAAGTGTGAAAAACAGTCAGAAGTCACTTTTTTCAGTGATGTTGTAACTTTGGTCATTAAATGAACTGTTGTAAGTTGAGGACTACCTGTAATTGGCTGGTATACACATCACACTCACTGCAAATCACACAAACCATTCTGACTATGGTGTATGAATCCAGCCTGTAGAAGAACCGAAAGATCTCCTTTATCTTGTCCTCCAGCCAGGCTCTCTTTCAGGGAGATACTTGTATCTGTTTCTTCTCCCTCCCAAGAATATAAAATATGAGTTTATGCACCATGTTGGAGATTCTCTCTGGGCACTCCAAAGCAGCATTTTCAATACCATGTCGAAAAAAAATTGATAAACTAACAAACGTTCTCAATTTTTTCCTGCCAGTCTTTAGAAGAGAAGGTACTGTATTCCCTATAGAAGATAAAATAGAGTAGGGACTTTGGAGGTCTTCTAGTCCAGCCCCCTGCTCAAGCAGGAGGACTTATACCATCTCAGACAAGTGACTGTTTGGCCTCTTCTTAAAGATCTCCAGTGATGGAACGCCTACGATTTCTGGAGCCAAGCTGTTCCACTGGTTAATTGTCCTCATTGTCAGGAAGTTTCTCCTTATTTCCAGGTTGCTTCTCTCTTTGACCAGTTTCCAACCATTGTTTCTTGTCCTACCCTCTGGAGCTTTGGTTGATTGCCAGAACAAGCAGGCATTTTAATAATTAAAACACCATCTTTGTTTTCTCAGATGTGCTGGTGAAGAAGGGCTATTCCAGACAAAATGTGTAGTTCAACAGATACTGATTTTGGGAATAAAAAAGGAGCCCTCTGTTGTGACAGCAACTATGTTTGGTAAGAGACAGAAATAGTCCAATTTCCAGCTTATTGATTTCTTTGCTTCCACACTAGACTCTCCAGGGCATTTGAAGCATTGCATTTCTCTCATTGGAAGAAACTGTATCTATTAATTTTAATTGTTTTATATGGCCACCCTTCTCTTAAATATGACTCCGAGTGGCTGACAATTTTTTTTTTAAAAAATACAGAAACAATACAAATATAAATTTCACCCTCACCTAAAATACAAAGTGGCTGCCAAAGACACAATTTATCAACATTGTGGGCTCACTGAAGCTAGTCCTTCAAGGCTTTCTAAAGGTGAGCAGAGTTGAGGACAACTAAATCTTGTGTGGTTTGATATTCCAAAGGGCAGCTACTTCCTGGGTGTCACTGGATGACAATCCCTGAATTAAATGAAACTTCTACACAGAATAATGTACATTTGCTTTTCTATAACAAAATTTTTCTTTAATGAGTTCCATTCAACAAGGTTGTTTCCTAAAGGCAAGATGACAACATTTAATTGATAGGTAATGACCAACACCTTGAAATGCTTCCAGAAGTCAACTGGAGCAAATGCAGTTCATATAGCAGCGATGACATATTAATATAACAAGAAGTGGCACTACTGCTTGTGCTACAATTTTTGCTGTTGGACCAGCTCAACCGCTTTTCTTCATTCATTAGAAGTGAACATTTGAGTTGCTTTGCAGAGCAGGTTGGATGGAGGGCTTGGATATTAATAAGTCCTGAACTTGCTCATATCTCACCAACATATCTCAAAAGCCTACAAGAACATTCTCCTAAAGTGGAGAACAGAAGATAGTCCTAACAAGTGCTCACTCTGGAAGCATTTGCTTCAGAACAGAAGACTTGATTACGACTTTGTTTTGAGCAGATATACAACAACATTAATCTACATGGCTTACTTTAAATAAATGTTTATGTGTATTTCTTTAATTGCAATTCAGATGGAAAAGAAGACAAGACAGTGGCTTTCACCTATGATACCAGAAATTCTGTGCTGACCCTTCAAAAACTTTCCTTAAACATTGGCAATAACTGGGAACTTCGTATCAAATGAAAGCGCAGCTTCAGAGATGCAGATGAAAAACTGAAAAATAATACTTTGAACAATTAGCATGCTTTTTTAAAATTGATTGCTTTTAAAATAGACAGAACCTCAAATGTGACACACCAAGTACTGTTTGTATAATTTAATTGATTCATATTCAAAATGTTTTTCATGGATGAAAACTTTCTGATATTATTTGCAAAAACTGTTCCTGGGGATAATTGATCTTATTCCAGATTTTGCAGTTCCGTATTAATTATTTTATTTTTTTGCTATATCTATGCAATAGTTCTCTTGCTTTTATAACACTTTCGAAGTAAATTATCTGGCTACGTTTTAATTGGTGCACTGTTCTGTTTTGGGTGGATTCTATTTAGCAATTTGACACGCATTAATTCTTCTAAGAAGTTCTTAGAAAGAAGAAATGCAAATGAGAATAGTTACAATAGGTATACATCTGCCACAGAGAGATTCTGCTTCACAAAACATAAATGCATTTTTATATGGGATAAAGACATCTTGAATTAATGAACTCTACCTTTCTTTTAGCTGATGCACTTCAGATGTGTTGGGCTATATAGAATCCCCATAAAAATTGTGAGAATCATCCTCCCATTATGTACAAAAAGAAAACAATGATATGATAAACTGTAAGGGAATGGTAAAACAGTATCACAGAAGGGAAACCAATTCAGGCTTTATTTTGCTGAGCAATTAATATTTCATATGGAAATAATTTACCAAAAGTAACTTTTTCTGTTTGTAGAGCACAAAAGCCTAATTGCCATTTCAGTATTAAAAGGGCCATATTTTAGAAGTGCCCAGAACATTCAGAATCTCAAGTTTTCATAACAAATGCCTCTTCTTTCAGAACATACCTGCTTATTGAGGCAGAACTTGCCTAAGGAAAGAGTCTCAGGACATAGAATCAGCACTCTCATTATAAAGAAAAGATATACATGTCTCCTCACTCCTTAAAAAATGTATATTTTCTTCCATTGTATTGCGTTGTGTCCCACATAGCAAAGATATAGCTATTAGAATCATGTAAAAGTAGTGTAACATTTTTGCTAAATATATTCTGCATCATAAAGTATATATAGGTTGAAGCATTGTTTTTTGTATGATTTTATTTTGAGAAATAGGAATAAAGGCTAGCTGCTTCTTCATTTGTTCATTGTTAGGGTTTTTCTTAATATGGCAGCGAACACAGATATGAAGACTGCATTTGTTTTTCTCCACACAAAACTTTTATTGCACAAAATTAGATTCCTATCTTACTCTATTATTTTCCTATTACTATAAGTTTACCAATATTTCTTAAATTTCTATCCCTCTGTTCTAGTTATATGTTTTTATACCTTTGTGTAGAATCTTGTGGGTTTTTTTAATCTTAACTATTTCTTAAGTCTTAGTTTCCTAAATCTTCCTTATTCCTCAGGTTCTACAGCTCTTGTAGCCAATCTCAGTCCATTTGAACAAGAAGTCCTATTTTTTCACTCCTTTATAGATTTGTGAATGGACTTTTTCTTCCTTCCTTCCTCCCTCCCTCCTTCCCTCCCCCCCCCAAGCCCCACCAATATACAACCACAATTGAGCTTCCTGGAACCAGAGGCGTAGTGTGGGGGGTGCAGGGGGGGCTGGCCGCACCGGGCGCAACATCTGGGGGGGCGCGCTCGCACTCGCAGCTCTCTGCCCCTGCCTGGCTCACTCACTCTCTCTGCAGTGCTGGCTGTGCGAATCCGATCCGAGCCACCGGGTCGCCGACACCGCCCACTGTGGAGGGGGGCGCAAATTACTTGCCCCGGGTGCTGACAACCCACGCTACGCCACTGCCTGGAACCAGTTTGTAGAGCTCTGCACCTGGGCTGCTGCCTGCAATGGCCTTGGTTTGCAGACTTGCTTGACTTGGAATCAGGCTCTCCCCCCCCTCCCCAATTTTTCAGTCCTGCCCCCCAGTGGTCATACAGCTCCAAGAATTGACGGTTTTCTTCTTCTGCTGAGGTACGTCCCTTTGTGTTAAAATCTCTTTTCCCAGGTCTCTGCTATCTTCCTAGTTAACTTGACACACCCGATGCCAAGCTGTGTGGTATGTGAAAGCTTTGATCTTTCCATATTTAAGTTTTGGCAATATCTGGGAGTGCCACTTGAAGAAGATGATTCACTTGTGCAACTCACACGATGTTCTGAAAAATAATCAGCAACTTCAGCAACTGTTTCACTTTCTGAGGTTGTCTTCC